ACCACCATAAAAATAAGCTTTCCATTTTTAAAAGGGTACAATTTTTCTTCATGATCAAACCTAACCCAATCTGAACGCGTTTTTGTCCTTGATCTCCAGGGTTGCTTCCATTTTCGATGAACATTTGTGTTAGGCCTGAGCATCCCTTGGCACGTCAATTGGCACCACCCTTAACACCCTCTTTGGTAACACCGTTCACAAATCCATTGGTGCCCTTTCCCGTTCCTCTTTGCATCCCTGAACGCTATTAAAACACATAATCTCAGAGATATAATTTTTTTTATCTTATTTACAAAGTATGCTTTCTATCAATTTCAGAAGATTTTAGAAAAATAATCGAGAAGACAAAGTCTCACAATCTCAGAAGAAACTATTCTAAACACCTTCTTGAAATTTCTACGAATTCCATCTTCCTTGTGAATAGAATTCGTTGGAGTACCTAAGTGTAGGCGATGAAAGACCCTCTTTAGTAAATAAAATATACCAAGAATTTGACACGAGTGAAATATAGACTTTACAAATATATACCATCCTGCGCTCTGAAGTCGTTACTTTGACGTCATCTCTGAGAAAATTTGAAGGATGAAAAATTTAAAAACCCTTTTTATTCTGTTATTTGCGCAGTTGAGCTCAGTTATGTAGCTCTTGAAGCCACCATAATGATATTTGTGTACAAAAACCATGTATCCTAGCAACTGGTTTTCGTGGGGCAAAGACAAAGGAACTGAGCCTGGGGATCAACCGGCAAAGTTAACGTGGGATCTGCGCGATTCGCCCTTCCAGTCTTCAAAGATCGTCTATGCTTGGAGGACTAAGCCTTCTTTGTTTTGCCAAAAGGTTTAAAATATTCTACTTCTTTCTATAGTTTTTTAGATTTTTCCGCGATCCTTTTGCTTTTTTCTTAACAATGCACGATCGCTTTTTTTTATGTTTCACCCCACCAATCTTCTAACCCCATCCTGTTTCGACGTTTGTACCGGTGCCCCAAATCAGGTTTGACGTAGCCTGGACAGTTCTTATCACGTCCAAATACAACAAAGACACATATATTTGACTAGCGCTCATCTCTTAGTTGTCTCTGGGATGGACAGGTGCTTGCGGTTGGCTGTAATCCCCGATAACAATAAAATGGACAATAGGACATCAGAAAAGGCCTAATCTTCGGTCGCCGAGGCAAGTTCTAGGTTCCCTCAGTCCAACCAAATTTGTGGAAAACTGGGGAAATTTGTTTTCGAATTATGTTTTGTTTATTAGATATGCTTTCCTCAAGCCAATCTCGCAATATCAATTTTAAGTTGTCTCGCCTGAATGTTGACCTCGTTTTAGATATTTGTTCACCACCCGAGGGATCCGACTTTGTTTGCATGTCAAAGCAATTATATTCCTGCAACAGGTACGAATGGCTTTAGAATAGAGACAGCCCGCTTGTTAAAGTTCTTTAGAGACAAAGGGGCACCCAAATTTATTCATATGTCATTAGGGTACCTACTCTTTGAAAGGAAGCTTAAAGAACCTGTCGAAATCGTCTCCTGAAAAGAGTTCACTAGTGAACTAATTAAGAGTTGATATAGCTAACCAAACAAAGAATTCTGTTCTTGCCATAGAACCTTAACATCTGTACTCTTGGTACTTGCACTCAATTCCTAGCCAAAATACCTGATACCCCAATAATGATACGATACACTGTTTTTAGAAACTGGTAGTTTCAGGTCCAAGCTGGCTGTTCTTAACGTTTACAAAACATCGAGGCTGGAGTTTCTCAATTTTAAAGTTGTCAGTAGTAATAGACACGATATTTTTCTGCAGGAATACATTGGACGTGTATAGTGCATTTGGTGGTAAGCTGAACAGGTACCCGGGCCTGACAGATATGTCTTTACATCCCTGCATTTTACAGAGCCTCTGCCTCAGCTTTTTCACATTTTTGACTTATTTGAGGTTCTCGTTCTTATGAAATTTAATCCTTGAATCCGGGGTATTTAGACCTTGACTATTTCATATTTGTCTCAACTTACAACGCAAGACATTTGAAATGCGTTAAAAATTCACGAACTTAAATATATATTTGATCCGGTCCTCTATTTTCTAGAAGGCAACTATCTTGTGCACTTTCATAATTTTCAATCTGTGCACCAGAATATCCAGACGAAACTCCACCTTGACAAAAAGCATAAGAGGCTAATCCAAAATGCTTTCTTTGAATGTGGCAATCTCCAAATCTTATGGTACCAAAATATTTTCTGTTCTCTTTACCTTACAGATCAAAATTCACAAGTCAAATAATTTTATTTATATTTTGGCTAAAATACATTATAAATTTCCTTAAAATTCACCTAGAAACTTTTTTGCTCGAAAATTCTTAGCTCGAAAGACCATTCACAATGAAATTTTGCCCCAGGTTTGTTGACACCCTTTCAGGCCCCTAAGGTAAACAACAGGGTTTACCCGCCTTCCAAAAGGAATATTTGGAAAACTTACAGAAAAACCAGCTTCGAATGCCGCTCTTCTATTTAGCTATTTTTGTTTTGAAGGGCCAAGGAACTGGATTTAGATGCTATTGAAGCTTTGACTGACATAAGATAACAGCCTTGAATTTTAACTATAGGAAAACTTATTGCAATACTGAGATAAGCATACTTGTTTATAACGAAAAGCTTCAGGGTTTAGCTATGCTTCTATAATACTGGGTAACCCCTTGTTATCGATTAAACACCTGGCTGTAATAGTCCTCAATCTAGAAATTAATTTTCTAACCACGTCCTTAGGGGGTTTTATTAAACCATCTATTGTTCTCACCTCTGTAACGATTGTAAGCGAACAGATGTTAATTTGAGAACTGTCGCGCCGCAAATGTGATCATGAACTCCTGCAAATAATTGCCAAAATGATTTTATCAAATGTAACCAAAATAAATTGCACATTGAGGCTTTTTTCTAGATTTCTATATTTGTACCCACATGGGTGACATTCTACCCCAATGGCCCTTTTAAAATCAAGCAGTACCAGTGGTTTCCAGCAGTCCCTGCTCCAAATTTTTTGGAATGTTTAAAATTACGGTAAAAAAATTATAGGTAACATAGATAACATAGTTTTGATGTTTTTTGAAATTTCATCATGATGATAATGGCTGTTTAGTGATTATAATTGTGATTATGGTAATAAATGAGATCATGATTGCCTGACTGATTTTGTTGATTACTTGATTGAGAACTTCGATAATGGTTATGATTGTTAATTGTAAAATCACCGACAATCATTGATTTCCGTATTGCAATGTATTTATCCGAACAAAATTACAAATTTTTCCTCTCGTTGACAAACAAATAAAGAGGCAATAGGAAAACCAAAGGAACAGACACAAAACTTGCAATGTTTGTTCCATACAATTTTGTTCCTAAAAGGCCAATCTGTTCCTTGGGAAAAAATGTCACTGGTACCGTTTTGTCATTCACTTCGAAAGTGATACTATTTAGTTTGTCACTTCAAGACAAAATTTTCCCACTGACCTAAATTACACATTTAAATTCCAAGCCCTCGGCTTCTTTGGTTTCAAGTAGCCCAACCAGGAAGTACCAAGTTTAGGTTTTTACATCATCCATGTTGCGTGACATTAAAATCTGATTACCTTGGAAATCCAATGAAGTCTAAAGAAGCGGGTACGTCCATGTTATAAACTATGGAAAATTGTGGCTTGCTTTCAGGACATATTCCTATATGGCAACCACCACTAATTACGAACTTCTCACTTTACGAATACAAAGTTTGGTCCAGTGGTGTAGTGCTATCGAAATAACAAGGTGGGGGCTCTTGCGCAAAATGTTGCAAAAAACAATAGCAAATGTAGAAATTTGCATATTTTTGGCATTGACAAGGGGGCTCAACCCCCGAACAACGAACTCTCAATGTAACGAGCCACTGCTTTTACGAACATTTTTATCGGTCCCTGCAGAATTTATGATACCAGGGTCCCAAAATATAAATTAATAAGTTTTTTGTTCCAGCAAGATCTTACAAGCGTACTGTCTATAGACAATACCCCCCACCTTCTACCTCGGTGTTCCCCCCACCCTCTGCCGCAGTGACCCTCCCCACCCTCTGCCGCAGTGACCCTCCCCACCC